AGAGAGAGAGAGAGAGAGAGACAGAGAGAGAGAGAGAGACATACAATTTCAACATTTAACATGCGATTTTAAATAGTGTCAGTCCGATTTTGGCGTGTGACCCCCTATTAAAACGTTTCACCGCGCCAAATTAGAGTTCGGCAATTAGTTGCAAATTTTCGCCTAATTCCAACCGGCACCGCCCGCGCCCGCGGGCGCATCGTGGCGTCCAGCGAAATAATTTTCAGTTATGGCACGATTGTCGCGTACCTTGCATTATGCATATTTCACGGGTTATCCGGCGCAATACGTCCGCTCGCTCGAAGCGCGTATCTCATTTTGGAGAACATACAGAGAGAGAGAGAGAGCCGTCGGCTCATCTATCTCGTGTGCGCGCGCGCGCGCGCGCGTGTACTTGCACGCGGGCGTATACATTAAATTAAATGGACGCGCGCGCGTTGTCGAGTGCCTGTATACATTACGATAATTACATCCAGCGAAATAGCGTTACGCACAAACAACCGACCGACTGACGCCCCGAAGGCATCATCGCGATAACTCGTCTCGCAATAATTTCACGGACTCCATCGACTATATCCTCCTATCTCTCTGACAACGGAGAACAAACGATTACGAAATGCGCCAACGTTAATATGGCAGTATTGTTATTTTTATCGCTTTATTTTCTCGCTGCTGTTGTCGGAATTATTAAATATCCCCTTCCACATGCCAATTAATTATAGTACGTCTTTGTGCTCGCAACGTCGACAATTCTCCAAAGAACTTTCGTCGGGAGAATCTATATAGATAACAATTTATCGGAATATAAAATACCTTGAATGTAAAGGTGAACCGTCATCTCGTCGCGGCCGTAGGCGTTGGACGCGATGCAAAAGTACCGTCCGCTGTCCTCGCGGCTGGTGCTGACGAAGCCGAGAACGCTGACGGCCCCGTCGGTGGTGTTGTCCTCCTTCAGGGTGTAACGATAGTCGGGGAGCTTGGGGTCCAACTGGGAGCCGGCTTTCTTCCAGACTATCTTCAAAGGATGGTCGCCCTTCGCCTCGCAGCGCAGCGAGGCGTTCGAGCCCAGCCTCGCGGTCTGATTGCGATGCTTCTCCACGAAATGCGCGGGAACTGTTATTCAAACGGGATGGAGAATTTTATTTACAATTGCATATTCAACTGTTAGGTCAACATACATTATTTTAGATTTATTTTATAACGCAGCCGTTATTCAAATAAACGAGCGGATTCTGTTTGATGGAAATTGAATTCTCGAGTTTTTCCTTCAAGCATCCATCAAGTTTCAGATAAAAGTTCTATTTAATTTTATATGCAATAAATTGTGATACATGTAAATATCACAATGTATATATATTTCTGTCACAGTGTATATATAATAATATATTTCTTAAAATGTTTTTTTTTATTATGTAAAATTATAAATAAAAGTTTATTTCCGATCACAAAATGTAAGCCAACTCGAGAGATTTATGGCTAGTATAATAGAAAAAGACAGATCTGACCAGGTCGATGAAAATAATTGAAGATGATTATAAGATTTGGACACTTAAAATTATTTACTCATATCGACGAACTATTTATTTGATTATAATTTAGTTTATAATATGCTTTAAATTATATTTTTAAATAAATCGATTTAACTAGCGTTTTAATAACTGTATTGATGTCACGCTTATTTTAAAATTAAAATGAAATTTTGGAGTTTGGAGCGTAGAATTAAGAATTAAAGACATAAAATCAATAAATTAAAGACATCAAATTATTATTGTTTAAAGATATTAAATTTGAGAAGAGATGTATTATTAATAATGAATTTTATCGTTAACGTTCTAAAAGCTAGAAGATCGCGTTTCGCATAAAAGTTGCGCAAGTCGATTATTTCATCAAAAAATATTTTCTCAATGTCTTAATAGGATATAAAGTGGATCAAATTGACTACACGGGTCAATCGTCACACTGTTGATAATACCTAAAGTTTCGAACGAGATCCAATTAGGGTTAATCGCCAATTAGTAGGAGACTAATCCTTCCAAGAGGAATTATGAGAGAGAGAGAGAGAGAGAGAGATATTTTATCTCGCAAAGCTTTAGCGCTAAAGCATTTTCTGTAACTAGAGATAGTAATAATGGGAGGTTTAATGACGTTTCTATGATAAAAAAAGTTGCATTTCTCGTTATTAAATTGTCGTTTTCTTTTGACAATTACATTAGATCAATTAGATAAAGAACAGACGTTACAAAGAGAAAGAGATTATAGAATAATTTTTATATTTCCACTATTATAACAAATATAATGAGATCTCATTTGATGAATTTGCTATATTTTTATGAAACATTTCTTGGTAGGGACTGTAAATAAGGCTTTTTAAAATATTGTATAAAATTAAAAAAATATATAATTAAAAAAATGCTTTTAACAAGAATATAGTTTCTAAATTCTTAAAAGCATTTTTTTAATTATATACGCCATTTATACAATATTTTAGAAAGCCTTATTAAAATATAATAATCATTTATACTTATTATTTAAAAGTAAGTTACATAACATTATTAGCAAACAATTGTAAGAACGGAAAACGCCAACACGGTCAAAGCGGATCTTGATGCTTCCATGATTTTCTAAAGTGTGAGTCTTACGATTTTTTTTTTGGTTCAAATAAAATTATTAGAAAACTATCGAATATATAGTCTGAAAAAAAATTAGGTCACAAGGAGGTTAAAATTGGCACGTACCGTTGACGGTGAGATAAACGACTTTACTGAGGCCGGCACCGATGCCGTTCACGGCCTCGCACAGGTAGAAGCCCTCGTGATCTTCCTGGACCCGGCCGAACACCAGCGAGCCGTTGGAGTGTATCCTCAGGTCCTGCATGTGCTCGTGGCTGGCTATGTCGTGATAATTGCCGGGCTTCTTGCCGCTGCCGCGCCGCCACGTGACCAACGGCGGCGGGAACCCGTCGGCGTGACAATGCAAGCTCAATCGGGGCATTCCCTCCGACGCGCGGGCGTCCTGCGGCTCCACCACCCATCGTGGCGGCACTGACCCACAATACGCGATCATTAATCGATTGCCACGGATATACCGTTACGCGACAATACTACTACAACGACGCGGTCCGGAAAGGCCCCGTTCGTGATTCCAAAATCCGCAAGCGGATGACGAGATAATTGTGCTTTTTCACAATTAATTTTTTATTCAATCCCTCGAATCGCGAAGAAAGTTTCTACGATATTTCATTCTCAATTAATTATCGAAAGACTCAAGCTAATCTGATTTAACGCAAGAAATTTTTGTCACGGAGAGATAAATTAGCGAAAAGTTTACGCGTGAATTGACGAATTAATCGCGGAAGTATATAAAAGAATTAATCCGAAAAGTGTAATTATATTTATCGTGCTGATGTTGAACTTTCAAATTTTGATGACGTCGCGTTTTACCTGGAGGACACACTGAATTCGTCGCGGGGGAAGAGGAACGCTCTCCCGGACCTCGTCGCGCGTTTCTCTATCTAAGCTTATTGTGTGCGCTGAGGCAGGAGCGAAAAGTTCCCGGGGAGAGAGGATTGGCCTACTGCAACTTCCTACTTCAGCTGCCGCGAAAGTAAAGAGAAACAGGATTTTTGAGGGTGCGCGAGGGAGAGGACACTGTGTGGAGAGTGTCCCCTTGGGATTGCGGACAAACGGCGCGAAACTTTCGCTGATAAAAATTACGGATTGTCCGCCAAATGCATTGGCGGATCGCCACCTCCGCCTCTCTTCTCGCCACCGTTTCTCCGTCTCTGTCCCGCGACGAAGAAACCGACGAGAAGGGCCAGGGGAGGGGGAGACGCAGAGGGGAAGGAGAGACCGACTGGATAAAGGGAGAAAAGTGCGGTGAAGAAACGGTGCCAAACGTGCGCGCGCGATGGAGATGGATTTTTCCATCGGCGACAAATATATAAGTAAAAGAAATGTCGATATATAAACACCACACAGTGTGATGACTCACAGAGAGAACAGAGCGGTACACGTGGACACGATAAATCGGTGCTGTGCGAATTCAATGCCACACATACGAAATGTGCACGATCAATTGTTGCGTACAAATATGCACAAGGTGCGCAAAATGTGCCGCGCGTCCCGTCCGAGCCGAACGTTTGCGCGCCGAATTACGCGCGCATTCATTTGCATAATGCGTCCCGTGCATTTATACGCTCGCGAATCGCATATTATTACTGTTCAATCGTGATTAATAATCGGTACAGGGCCGAAGCGGATGAAGGATGCATTACGTGTATTACCCGCGAAACTCGAGCTGTATATACGCGGACAAATTTGTTATTTGGGGCCGAGTACGACCACCGTGTGGCGTACGAGTCACACACAAGTTGCAGGGTAATAGAATCAACAAAGCGGTGGACAGGGCACGCGCAATAATGAAGACGTGGACTTATCGCTGCAATTTATTTTAGCGAGAGAAATAACACTGCAGTCTTCGTCTCTCCCCAGAGGTACTGTATTTTTAACATTATACGTTCCAGAGTTTGGGGGAGCGCTTTAAGCCTTCTCTTATTCTTAATTCAAATACCTCGACTGCGCGGCATCCGATTGCCCCCTCCCTATTATATTAATTCAAATCCGATAAACGCGATCCTTCGATCCTTCGTTTTCCCCCTCTGAAGTTCGACGTAACGATTTTGCATCGCCGCGGGAATCGATTATTCCCGGCGAACGTTCGGATCAAACGAGACCGCGAGTTCGCCTCGGTGCGAGATACATAGGCGGGGTTAGATAGGCGGCATACGAATTTTCGGCGTGACGGCGTGAGCAGGGGAGAAAGAAGAAGAAAAGAAAGGGGGGAGGAAACGAAAGAAGGAGAACGAAACACGAGGCGCGAGTCGTCACATCGCGGGAGAGAGAGTCGGTGCCAAGGGATTAGTGGCGCTCGGGACCAAATAAGAGAGAGAAATAAACTGAAAAACGTGTCAGTGCAGATATGCGTGTGCTGGGTGAAGTGAACGTGAGTGGGTGCTCCAAATTGAACTACAAGATTGCTGCTGCTGCTGCCACTGCTGCTGCCGCTGCTGCTGTTACTGCTACTGCTGCTGCTGCTGCTGCTGGCTCGCTCGTGGCTCAAGACGGATGTGGTGCTATATATGCGAAGCCGAGTATCGTGAAGTGGCCGTATTGGCCCTCTCGCATGCAGTATACATATTTCATTTCGGGCTACTGCGATCGGTGTTGAATACCGACAAGCGCGCGGACCCCCTCGTACATCGGTCGAGATTTCATTTCGCGTTCCTCTCTTATTCTCGCGTGTCTCTCCTTTTTTTTTTTTATATACTTGTATATTTCGAATCGTCGTGTCCCGGCACACGATGTTCAGCGGTTCTCCCGACCGACGCAACAATCGATATACAGGTATGTATTATACAACGTACATACAAGAGCTTGATGCTTTTAAACTAATAATGCTCCTCTCGACTTGACGTCGTGGCATTTAAAGAAGATATACATCGGCCGCTCGGGTCTCGACGCCGCGCCGCGCCGCTCCGAGAGTCGTCTCGACTGTCAGGAGGGTCGGGTGTACCGCTGCGTTTGACACTCAGCGGAATTAATGCGGAGAGAGTAACGCGGTGTATGCGATCGCAGTACTTAATTATCGCGATAAGTGGCAGAGAGTGAGCGGTGCAGGTTGAACGGTGCGCCCGCGTTGTTGCTAGATATGTATCTAGATAGAAAATATATTACAGAGGGGGGGGGGGTGGATCCGTGGGGTGAAATAACACTATATTATGCTGTGCTCAAGTGCGTTGGTGCGACGGGCTTGCTGGCTGTGCGGCGGCGGCGGCGGCTGCTGCTGCTGCTGCTGCTTCGTCATTTCGCGCGTATCATCCCGTAAAAAGGACTCTAGAGCTGCGTTTATCCGGATAGTGAATTGTTCTCGTGCGTCTCTCGTGAATATCCGGCTGACGCACGCGCGCCCGCGATGCGCGCTCTCTTTCTAAAAAAAAAAATATTCCCCACGCAACTATCTCGAATTTAATGAACGGACTTCGCGTAGGGTATCATAGAAAAATATTTCCTCTGGCTCTTTTGTGGAAAAAAAAAGACTCGGCGCAACAAAACGCAAAATATACCGAAATATTGGAACGGGAAAAAAAAATTATTGGGAATATATATACCTCGATACGGAACATTTTCAAGCGGGATGCATGGATTATATTCGCGAGAGTATTACCCAGAGTGTATTACCCAGGAGAGATCTGTCAGATATTGAAAGTGCCGGTCGAGTGGCTTTAAGCGGCAGAAAAGTCGTACGGAAAAAATAAAAGATATTTTAGGTATAGACTAAAATTTGCATGAGGCTCTTAACGTTACTACATAATGTGGAATGTATAATGTGGAAAAAACTTAAATATATTCAGTGATATGCTAAACCAAATGTAGTGATAATAAATATACCTTTGCTTTTACTTTCGTAATTTATTGCCGTCACAATTCACCAATTGTCTCAACCTTTTCGACGGATCTTTTCGCTTAAAACTTTTTGAAAATTATATATGTATCTCAAATCTCTTGCGAATTTCTCTCCAGGACAATCAATATCAGTTAACCGTATATCGTAACGCGCAAAACTGTTTGATTATATCGCAATTATAATTATACGTCACGGAAAGAGCGGCATCGGCGAGACGCAAGGGTGGACTAACTCTCCCTACTTTCGACGTAATATCACGATTTATTATCTCTGTCAGCTCCACGTTGCGTATAACAGTATAACGCAAGCGCGACGGCTTACCTCCGTTTAACGGCGTATCAGAATTCACGGGACGGATATTACTTCGTAAATTAAAAAAATATTACCTCGCGGGACCCGGATAAAAAGCTAAGCGCGCACGCCAATTCCGTGCCTGCCCCCGAGCGGGCTCGACATCCGCTCGATAACCCTCGTCGCGATAACCCGGATATCCGGTCCGTTCGCGAAATCCGTGCGCAGCCCTAGCGCGTGACTCTTACTTCATGCTATTTTCCGAATCGACGGCTGCGATGGCGGCGGCGGCGGCTGCTGCTGCTGCTGCTGCTGCGGCGGCTGCGGCTGCGCTTTATATACGTGACGGCGACGGGGTACGGCAACCGCGGGTGAACAGAATCTCAGCGGGTGACTTGGCATTTAAAATCTCGGCGAATTCGGTTGATTCCTGTCTTGTATAAATTCCTGGGTCCGATCGCCAGAAAATTAATCTCATCACTCTCCTATCGCCGTAAATTTGTCGGCGACCGCAAACTGCATACCGGCAGTCCGGCCGGTGTTCACTCCGGCAGTAGATATAAAGACGCTATGGTCAGACATCGCTGACCGTTGGGAAATAAAGAGTCTCAGGTATGCTACACTTTTCTGCGGTAAAAATACTTCGTGAACAGCGCAAGTAACAAGAAACTTAGAGAATGAAATCGTACAATTTATATTAAATATAAAACTATATATCTATAATCTATATCTTTATATATATATTTTTTCTATTTTTATCTTTTATATTTCTTTATATATCTATATCTTTATAGAAATAATTTCAAAGTAACAAAATGTAATCGTACCATTTATGTTAAATATAAAACTACACTGAGAGAAAAATATTTTGTATTTGTAACTATAATTGCATGGTAAAGAAATTATGGTTAGGAGCACTATTTTTATAGTTATTATTAGTATAATGTTAATAATAATAATCTTATTTGAATATTTCTACCAAATATGAAAAATTTTACTATAAATTATAATAGTTTTAAATATTAATACAGTAAAAAAAGAGATATATATGACAAATAAAATAAATATTTTTATGTAGTAAATGCAACTGTAATTATAACAGTAAGTATAACAATTTTCTTAACATTTGCTTATTATTTATATTGAAATAATAACTAAAAAATAAGTAAACAAAGAAATAATAATATCAATCATAATGTATAACCATAATCCATTGTTAAAACAACTATAATTTGCATGGTTAAATTGATTATAATTTTATAGTTGTCCCCGAAATTTAAGTTATAGT